TTGGCATATTGGTAGCTGTGATGACAAACATGCCAAGACCAATACCAACCTCCTTAAACACCCTAGATTATAATATTTGAACTTAATACAACAATCAAGAAAAACAACATAACAAAAAAAAAGCAACAACATTTTACAATAGAAGATGCTGCACCTATCTCAACTCAAAACCGCCAACAACACACAAATCAAGAAAAAGCAAAACCAGAAAATCCGGTAAATAAAACAAACAAAGAAAGCGCCAACCAAAGGCTCGAAACAAAAAACGAAATCAACAAAGAAATAACGAAAGAAGGAGAAAAGAACGAAAAAAATACTCAATCAAAGAATAACAAAACAAATAAGACAAACAACATAATCGAAATCGAAGTAAAAACTAAAAAGAAGAAAAAATGCAACAAGCCATTATACCAAAGAACAAAACCCAACAAGAAACAACCAAAGAAGAAGAAAGGGAGAAACAGCTAAGAAGAAAAGAATACTACTTTGAAAAATACGACGGACAAAGCAGAAGGAAGAAGCAGAAGGAAAAAGTAACACGACGGATAGAAGCAGAAAGAAAAAAGTAACACGAAAGATACGAGGAAGAGGAAAAAGCGGAAGGAAGAACCAAACGATCAGAAGAACCAATCAAGAATCGATCAGAAGAACCAAACGATCAGAAGAACCAATCAAGAATCGATCAGAAGAACCAAACGATCAGAAGAACCAATCAAGAATCGATCAGAAGAACCAAACGATCAGAAGAACCAATCAAGAATCGATCAGAAGAACCAAACGATCAGAAGAACCAATCAAGAATCGATCAGAAGAACCAAACGATCAGAAGAACCAATCAAGAATCGATCAGAAGAACCAAACGAAAATATTGAAGAAAAAATGGAAAACATGGCAAAAAAACCGCATCTAAACGAAATGCACCGCCACCGACACCACACAAAAAACAAAAGAAAAAAAAGAATAGGAGCGAATAACTAAAATGGCTAAGTTTTTATTATTTCTTATTTTTTTCTTTAACTTTTATTAACGCTTTTTTATTAAATATTTTGTTTTTAAACGAATATTATTGCATAAAAATGCTCGACTCTAAACCACCCGAAGTATGCGTTCCAAAAAAGAATGTGTTCTTTTGCATGTTTTTAATCATAGAACTCCTACGTAAGGGTAAAAAAGCCTTGATGCTGAAGAATACCTTAAATATTTTCTTAGTCAATTGTTGGTTTAATAAATAAACAAAAACAAGAAACAATTTTAAATAATTTCAAAAAACTAAATTATGATTTCTATTCTCTACAAGATATCTTTAAAAAATGCAAAATGATGAGTTATCAAGAAACTGGAAAGGCAGTGTATTATAGTCTGCGGGCAAGACTCTCACAGGTGGTACTGCAATAATAAGCAAACTCCTGCTAAAAGCTTACGAAAATTTTGAAGACGAATATAGAATTTTTAATTACGTTTTAACCCTTTAACGGTCTGGTGTTTTTTTTTATTAGAGTCGCTATTAGTCCAGTTTTTTTTTTGAAGTCGCTTCTAAATGTCCCGTTTTTTTTGAAAAACAACGTGTTTTTTACTCATGAATTAAAAAATGTTTTTTGCTACTTTCAACGCTATTAAACACTTTTATCTTATTAATAAAGCTATTAAACACTATTTTCTTATTAATTAAACGCTATTAATAATTAAACGGTATTAATTTTTAATAATTTAACTTACTAATTAAACGCTATTAAACTCTATTACCTTATTAATAAAGTTTAAGAATATATATCCATACTATATAAAAACAAAATTCTGGCGTCCAATTTCTCTTTTTAATACAGACTATAAAATCATAACAAAAATATTCGCAAATTGGATAAAAAAAAGTTTTACTTTAGATTATAAATGAAAATCAAAGAGCATACGTCCCACATACCATAAATTACAATTTATTATACAAAACATAAATGAAAATCAAATAGCATACGTCCCACACACCATATATTACAATTTACCATACACTAGAGATATCTTAAGAATATCCAACAAAAATCAATCAGATAACTCTATAATATCTAATGATCAGCTACCTCTATAATTTCCATTAATCAGATACCTCTATAATATCCATTGATCAGATACCTCTATAATATCCATTGATCAGATACCTCTATAACATCCATTGATCAGATACCTCTATAATATCCATTGATCAAATACCTTCATAATATCCATTGATCTAGGCTTTTGACAGAAACTATATTTTATCTTTTTTTGGTTTTAATAACGTATTTATAAATTTTATTAAAACGTCATATTACAACAAAAACGTGCAAATAAAAATAAACTGTTTGGTTCAATTTTTTCAGATTCTTATCTGAAAAAATTTAAATAAACAGAGGAGTAAGGCAGGGTTTTCCTCCTTCGATGACCCTATATATCATACAGGCCAAAATCTTCTCCGGATACGTAAGAACAAATAAAAACATAAAAGGATTAACCAAAAAGAAACTAAAATCCAGCAACATGCTGGACACAAATTTCTATTTAACATGAAACGAGTCTTTCAAAGAACTTGGAAAGGCTCTAGAGCTCAACGAGAGAACCATTGGAGAATTAAATGTATTGAAATGCCAGGGTCTGTGGCTCAGAAAAAATTTAAAAAAATAAAAATAATTTTAAACTTTAACTGGGAAGAAAATGCCCTTAAAAGTTTAGGTATTTATTTTTTCAATGGAGACACCCAGATTAACATCAAATGAAAGCATTTCTGTAAATCAAAAAAAATTAAGCGATGCCAAACTGTTAACTTATCCTTAAAAGGTAAAAGAGTTGTAAAAAGTCAAGTACTCTTGAGTAACCTTTGGTATTTAGTCTTCATGCTACCAATACCAAACAACAAGGTCATTAAGTATATTGAAAAAATGGTCATCGAATATATTGAAAAATCGTTTCATTGAAGCTGTTGCCCCAACTTCCTTTGGGGAAATAGCTCCATTAAAACAAACCAAAAAGTCTCCAAACTTCCTTTTAAACAAGGGGGTTGGAGCATTAAAGACATAAGCGAAAAACTAAAATCCATCCAGTTAACGTGGGTCGCAAAAATATCTAATTACGCTCTAACAGGTACATGGAAAGACGCTGCAATGCATGTTTTAAATAATTAGAAAAATAAATAAATAATAGAATAGAAATAAATAATAATAGAAAATTAAATAATAGAAAAGAAAATCAAGGAGAAAACATTTATATAACAACCCACTCAAGCAGTGGAATTAATGCCCTCCCTGCGTTCTATCAACAAATGATCAAAAACTGGAGTCGTATTTTCAATGACGAGAAGAACATAAAAAATATGTCCATTAAGGAAATCCTCAACCAGGCTCTGTTTTTATAACAAGTTTATTAGAGACAAAAACCACAAAACCCTAAAACCTAAACAAGAAACTACCTTGAACTAAATATCTAAAACATCCGACCTTTATATAGTTTTTGTACCGGGATTCTTAAACTACCAATTAACCGTTCTTAAACAACCAACCTTTAAAAGAGTTGAAAATTCCATTCCGCGAGTCTAGAAAACAAAAATAAAAAATGAATATTAGTCTTATCAGCATAACAAACCAAACTTCATTCTAAGAAACTTTACGAACCGTCCAAAACAAGTTTCGATTACCGACCTAACTTCAAAAACAATTTATGATTTTCTAATGAAAAAAAAAAAAGAATCTGGGTGTAAAAACCTTATTCACCAGATAAAAATCCATATTTGAAAGAGGTACGATGGGCTCCTCTTCAATGGAATGGTCCCTCCTCTTCCGAAACATATTTAAAAGAAATGATTACAATAAAGCAAACAAAATGAAATATAAAGCCATTCACTTTGCGCTACGCACGAATTCTATCTTAGAACGCAGAAGTCATGCACTGGGTGAACTCTGCTCCCATTGTATGAAAGATAGAGTAACTCTCACATATTGCGAAAAGATAAACCCTATAATTAAGTACACAATATTTTTGCTAAATAAGATTTACCCTACTAGCATGGGCGCCCGCAAGAGGGGGGCAAGAGGGGGCACTTCCCCTCCCCCTGTATTTTCTAAATATAGAAAAAAAATTTCTTGTTTGTTGCGTTCTTCATGCCATAAAGTTTGTTACTAAATTTTTCTGTAAAAAATATCTTTTAATGATACTTCGTTACAGTTTCGGAAAAAACCAAATTTAGTTTTTTCCGAAATAATTAATTGCTTATTTGTATGAAAAACACGATATTTTTCAATCTTAGCATGCTTCGTAGTTTACACACTACATTTTCAAAACGGTGCTGACAAGTTTAAATAGCACCCTTAGAAAATTTTCTACGCGGGTGCGTATGCCTACTAGTAAACCTTTTCAACCTTATCTGCAGTAAACCTTTCAAAAACACTTTTAAATTTTATCATTTTGGGTTTGTTGAAAACGTACCAAACTTTTTATATTGAAAATTTGTTGCTTGACGAGCTTTTATATTATGTCTATACGATACGTATGAGAGCTTATCATGAGAGAGTGTATCATGAGAGAGCTTATCATGAGAGAGTTTATCATGAGAGAGCTTATCATGTGAGAACTACAAGCACAAGAATCAGCCTTTTAAAAGAATACATATCTAAAATTGAAAAAATACTTTAAACAGAAAATGATATTGCAAAAGAAAACAATCAACTAAATTGGTTCTTAAGCGAAGCAAAAGAAATAAGAGAGAAAACCGATATGTAAAACTAGAAAATAATCTAAATCAATTTTAGAGTTAATTCAAATCGCCGTATACTTTTTGAAATATCCAATTTTTTATTCTTATTTTTATTTTTATTTTTTAATATTATTTTAATTTTTTTTTTTTTCCACTTTTCTCAGCCTTTCTTTGCTCGCTTATTCTTGCTGCGTTCTGTTTCTCAATATGAAAAGCATAGAAATATTTGTTATACTTTCTATGTAATTCTTGTCAAGTAGTTTACAAGGTGATAAGCTACAACTGAAAACTAAACTATTGAAATATAAACACAATAACATCAAGAAGGGGCTTTTTCCAGAGTGAGGCTGGTGCATTGCACTGCGCATCGCAATCACCTCTACGATTACAACTAACGACGGTAACATGACGGTATAATTTCTCGTTGCAGAAGCCTGTGTACGCGCATCTTTCATAAGCTCAATTAAATCTCAAACATACTGAATGTATCTATGAATTCAGAATGTATCATGTAATTATAATCCGCGCTCATTTTAAAGAAGAAGCTACATATTATATTTTCACTCTTTATTGCTTTTTGTACCAAGTTGATGTTTGTATAATCTTACAGATACTAGCATAGCGTACTATTTTTACACAAATTTACATCGAATACTTTCTTTGCTTTTCATGAAATGGAGTGGAGCAAGAATAAGAAAAACTGAAAAAGTATTGAACAGCAACCCCGGGTTTTTTTTCCAACTTTTGGTTATATTTTTGGAAATATTTGACATAAAAGAAACTGCTGAAAACTTAAATAAATTTATTATACATATAAAACCTTAATTAAAGTTTTCTGGAAATAAAACTTATTAAAAAAAAACTCACAATGTTAATTTAATTTAATCTTATTAAAAAAAAACTCACAATGTAATGAATGCGTCTGAACTGTTGTAAATTAACTTTCAGCATCTTTTAATGCACTTAAAAAAAAAATAAGAAAGCTGGGTTTAAAAATAAAAATGTTAATGTTCTAAATATGGTTCAAAATTTCCAATAATTTTCCTGGAAATTTTGCTCAAAATTTCCGGAATTTTTCAAAAAAATTTTGTTGCAAACTTATAGTTATTCTTTAGTTTTATAAAATTTTTTTCAAAAATATGTGTTATATCATCGTAGTATTTTATAAAAATCATTTCTTTGTTTCAAAAATATGTGTTATATCATCGTAGTATTTTATAAAATTCATTTTTTTGTTTCAAAAATATGTGTTATATCATTGTAGTATTTTATAAGATTCATTTCTTTGTTTCAAAAATATGTGTTAAATCATTGTAGTATTGGGGTATTCTTAAAATATTTCAACAAAAAATATAAAATAAAAAATATAAAATAAAAAAGACCCAAAAGCGAAAAACGCTCATCTTTTAGTCAACTTTTTATTTTTATATAAAGTTTGCAACCAGAGCATGTAAATATAGTCTAGTTTGGAACATATTTTTGATTATATTAGAAAAATATAATCAAAATACTAGTTATATTATTTTGAACAAATGTTCAGTCTTATAGCAGGTAATTATGAAAATGGGAACAGTTTATTTTAGAACTCAGCTAAAATTGTGACAAAATTTTGTGATTGAAATTGTGACAAAATTTTGTGATTGAAATTGTGACAAAATTTTGTGATTGAAATTGTGACAAAATTTTGTGATTGAAATTCGCAGCCAGAGCAAAAATCAAAGCAATATGATTTTCTCTGTTTTCTCTTTCTATAATTAATTTACATGGTTTAATATTCATTTTATGTTTAGTTTACGTTTAATTTATATGATTTACTGCTATATATAAAGTTCGCAACTAAAACAAGTAAGTCTGGTCACTAGCAGGGCCACCCACATAATTTTTTGATGTTTCAGATATGACACTTTCACCTAATGTGCTAACTTCAAATTTAAGTACGTTCATGTCTATGCCAAATGAGGAGGTTTTGAAAAAAATTGCAATGGAAGCCTGGAAAAAAAAATACCCTAAAATTTTAGCCCCCCTTGCCTATAGGTGAGGGTAGTTACGTAGTAAACTTTTCATCTATTCTGTACTAAATTTAAATTCATCGACAGGTTTTAAATTTCATTTAAAAATATTGTAAATTACAAAAATTATTACCATGTAAAATTTATAACCCAATTTAAAATGGTGATTTATACCGTTTTAGTGGAGGTAATTTTATTATGCTTAGTTTATATTTAATCAGAATGCCGTTTTTCAGCCCCAGATGAAAAACAGGAAACATTTAATTAAAAATATAAGGAGTTATAAGATAAGTATACAAAAACAAGCTAAATGATAAATGATTGCCATCGTTGTGGCAAGCATAATGTGGTAAACCAATCAACATAATATAACAAAACTACTCAATTTATTAGATATAAAAATAAAGCAGCAGTTTTACAACCAACAAAAATAAAGCAGCAGTTTTACAACCAACAACAAAAAAAAACAATAATGAGGAGAGTGCGCGCATATTTACTAAAAGAAAGTGTAAACAAATATATCAGCATTAAATAAAATTGAAAATTATGTAGTATAATACCAGATTTTCGTGATATATTTTGACCCTTATAAGGATTCAATACTCAGTTATATGACGTCAATACTCTGTTATATGACGTTTCGAATGCTCATTCCTAATAACCCCCGTCGAGGTATCATCTGCAAATAAACAACAGGACATGCTACTGTTAGGCCAAACACCCTAACTCTCTCTCTTTCAAGGTGGGCATGAAAACTCAATTTTATTTGTAAGTTAAAAACCCCCTTTTCAAACCAAATCATTGTGCCATGACCAAACTTTTATCACTGTCAAGTAAACAATTGAAAACCATGACCAATATTCTATCATTATTAAGTAACAGTTTGTTTTTTTTTCTTTAAATTTAAAACTTTCTGACTATAATTGGGTCATAAGGTATTTTAGTAAACCCCCAGATAAATCCTGTGGATCTGAGCTGTTGAAAATAATTTTTAAATTTCATTCCAAGCTACAACGCCTTTGTGGAAGCTACAACGCCTTTGTGGAAGCTACAACGCCTTTGTGGAAGCTACAACGCCTTTGTGGAAGCTACAACGCCTTTGTGGAAGCTACAACGCCTTTGTGGAAGCTACAACGCCTTTGTGGAAGCTGCAACGCCTTTGTGGAAGCTACAACGTCTTTGTGGAAGCTACAACGCCTTTGTGGAACAATTGTTTTTGCTAATTGCTAACTAACAGACAAAGTTGCAAACCAAATGTCAAAAGAAAGAAATAAGTTATCAGCAGAGCCTGTTAAAAGTATTTTTATGTATAACATATAACTTCAAATCATAATTCGTACATGAGTTTTTTTTTTTTTTTGGTTTTTTTTTACAATAAAAACTAAGTAAAAGATATTATAGTTATATAGGTATTTAATTTTATAAAAAGAACGCGGAGACTTGCTGAAGACCGTCAGGTCTTGTCATCGAGGCCCGTTCGTATTTTACCATCTCAATAAATCATAATCAAATATAGTTTTACATATCTATAAAAACTTTACAGCATAAATACATCAAATATTAAATGAAATTATTAAACGTTAAAAAAAAATAAAAATATATTATCCAGAGACAAAATTATTTCTTTAAGTTTATTTTTCAATGAGAGGTAACTCCATTCTAGAGAAAAATCAATATGTTTTAAAACTATTTTATTCCAAAAAAAAGTTCAACGAAATGCAATGTTTGTTTTTCCAAAATTAGTTGACAAAAAGGTTGCCGAACTAAATTGTCATTTCTCATATTGTATTTGTTTTTATCTTTCAAGGTATATAAATTACGGAAAGAAACTGGGGAAGAATTTATTTTACATTTGTACATAAAACAAAGAGTATTAAAACATTGAGCTGAAATATATTAAAAGTTTTCATTTCAGATAAAAGAGGCCTGGCATGAGTAAATTTGTCTTTAAATTTGATTAGATGAGCAACATGTTTCTGCTGACGATAAAGAGGTTTTAGTTTACTTTTATTGGCATTACACAAAGCAATATTTGCATAGTTTAAATGACAATGGATAAAAGAAAAATATAATTGTGTTAAACTTTGTTTATATAAGGCATTTCTAGCCTTATACATTACTCCTATACTTTTAGCAATTTTGTTGTACAAAAAATTAGTGTGCTATTTCCAGCTAATGTTTTCATCAACATGGACACTTAAAAAGTTAGTATTTATTTCTCCTTTTATTTAAACTTTGTCTATAAAAAGTAAGGGCAAGTTAGGAAGCATTAGTTTCTTTTTAGAAGTCGGATGAAAGAGTTCCATAAATAATTGTTATCAAACAAAGACTTATTAAAAAAGATAAGTTCAACCAGAGCCGGGTTAAGTACTTACTGGCCTCCCAGCACTTTAAACCTACTGGCCCCTGTTGACCTCCAAGTAATCAAATTTAAAAGCGGTTTAAAATTAAAAAATCTTTGTAATTGTTGCGCTATGGCTTTATAATGTATTTTCTTTTGTAATTAAACAAGCGTTTTGCGTTATTTATAATTAAAAACACGCTGCAATTAGTATAGGTTTTAAAACACCTTTAGTCTGCATTTTGAGCTTGCAAATGCAGATATGATATCTTTTAGGTCAATGGAATCCAATACCCGGTTTCCTATTTGAGCAATTAAAAGATCTGAAAGACGTTCCTGAAAAAAAGCTCTAAAATTAAGACATTTGTTTAATAAGTGAAAGTTAAGATCAGTAGGATATCGGTCAACAAATTTTTTTGTGCACTGCAATTATTCTCCAAGGTATCCATGCTGCTGAGATTCACAAGAAAGCCAAACAAAGAGTTCAATCTAGAATAGACTTTCTTTCTTTTATCTAGATCACTCATTATTTTTTCCGTGATCTCATTAACGTCGGCAATCATTTAAGATCGCCCAAAAAACACTGTAGTTTCCACACTGTTAATTTCATCATCGTAAAGCCTCTATCGTGCTCTTTTTAACCTTTGAACATAGATATAGTTATCCGTGTTGACCAAAGACACGGCTTCTTTTTCATATTGCTCGAAATCGGAGCGAACTTGCTGCACGTAATGCTCCAAGGAGTTGTACAGTTCTTTAACCATACCTAAGTAAGCTTTACAAACTGCAGTTTTTTGTAAAATTTGTTGAACTTTTTCATGATTCATGTTTCAAATGATTATCAAAATAGCTGTCTCAAGTTGTTCCATTTTGGTCAAAAGTTCAAAGGCTTATTGGTTTTGCTTTCTGATCGTCGTTAAAATCAAGTAGAGACTATATAGAAAATATTTGTTAATAAGTATGCACAATCAAAAATTAAATATATTTTGTTTGATTTTCTAAATAATTGTTAATTACCTTGTAAATAGAATAAACCTTTTCAATGGCTAAACAAGCATCAGCACGAGCTAACCAACGAGTTTGAGAAAGAGTCTAGGGAGCCTTA